GAATAAAACCACTTTCTCAAGAAGCACTTTTCATATACAGTAGATTTAGATTGTGTGTGGATTACATAGGAGGAAAGCAAGTACTTTGTCTCCATTGATTCTAAAATAAAATGATGTGTGGGTGTGCAGCCTAAGTGTTTTATGTACTTCTAAAAACCAGAGGGTTCCCACAAACCCACTGATAACTCCCCCTTTATTTATGGGTGGTACAATTCTGGCTATGGAAGGATTGTCACTCAACCTGTTAAACATGGGAAATGATAGAACCTGGTGGGGAGGAATAAAACTTTGAAGTCAAATCACTAAATGCTCAGTCATGGAGGTACTGCAGTCTAGATGGTGCTTTTTCAAAGCCCAGAGCCCAGTCTGGTGGGATGGTTGTGGCAAGAGTGAATGTATTAAGACATGGGGATTATTGGGTTAGGTCCCCCCCTCCCCGGTTATAATGCTAGTGCTCCTGTCCCAGTTCCACAGGTTCCTTTTACACCCTATTACCTGTTGCATTAGGGACACACCTGGAGAGCCTCCATCATACCAGGTAAAGGGACGCGGGTGGCGCTGTGGTCTAAACCACTGAGCCTCTTGGGCTTGCCGATCAGAAGGTCGGCGATTCGAATCCCCATGACAGGGTGAGCTCCCGTTGCTCGGTCCCAGCTCCTGCCAACCTAGCAGTTCTAAAGCACACCAAAAATTCAAGTAGATAACCTTCCGGTGGGAAGGTAAACGGCATTTCTGTGTGTTGCTCTGTTTTCGCCAGAAACGGCTCAGTCATGCTGGCCACATGACCTGGAAAAACTGTCTGCGGACAAACGTCAGCTCCCTCGGCCTGTAAAGCGAGATGAGCGCCACAACCCCAGAGTCGTCTGCGGCTGGACTTAACTGTCAGGGGTCCTTTACATTTTTACCTCTTGCATCATGGAACTGCGGCATTTAGACTGATATACCACCCAAGCCACTCCAAATGTCATCCACATCAGTGGCTGTGGTGTGACACAACAGCAGCCACCATTAGATACCCCACCACCCTTTATGTGCATGTGGGCTTCTGTTCCCTGGTGAAAGTGGTAGGAAAGGAATGTATGCCAGACTATCGCCCCAAATTTCATCACCCGGTGTGATATATGAAAATGGCGGGGAAATCACAGCATATTTTTCTAGGTTAACAGATTAGCGGATGGATCTTTTTTCTGGAAGCAGTTTACACAGAATTGAGCCCTGAAGTTTCACTAAACGCCATTGGCTTCTGCTAAGATCACATGAACCATGAAAACTTTCAGGTACGGCAACATCAAGAAAATAGGATATCAAGAGCTGTCTGGATGCAGCCAGTCCAGTGCCACAAACCCTCCAAGTGTCCCTATTTTCCAGGGACATCCCTGATTTAGAGAAGCCACCCCAGTTTCCGATTTGATCATGGAACATCCCAGTTTTCCTTAGGACGTCCCTATTTTCATTGGAGAAATGTTGGAGGGTATGCCATCTGAAGGCAATCCTGTCTAGGGAAGTTTTTTTTTTAAAAAAAGTTTAATGTTTTATTATGTTTTTATATATGCTGGAAGCCACCCAGAGTGACTGGGCCAACCCAGTCAGATGTGTGGGGTATAAAAAGTAAAATTATCATTATGGAATGGGTCGTCCCTGTTTTCATCGGAGAAATGTTGGAGTGTATGGGGCCAGTGCCAGAAGAGCTAGAACTGTATATCTGCAAGGTCTGGCTTGGGATCTCTCTCCCCTCATGCCTTGCACCTATTTAGGACACGGACTGCACGAAATTTGACCGGGAGTCAGAAATGCTTCCTCCTGCTCAGAAAACTACTGTTTTTTAACAGTGCATTCTTGGATCCTCAGCCAAAAGAAAGTCAGCAAACCTTGGTCTAAATATAACACAGAGATTTTCAAGGCTGAGATGAATGTCTGGCTCCACGCAGGGCCAAAAGCATCCTCATGTCACGAGTGAGAGAGAGGCAGATGGGCAGATGGAAGGGTTTGGGCACCGTGACTGTCAGTATGGATGCAGCTGCATGTAGTGCCTGAGTTCAGTGCAGGCAGCTGAGGTCCTGGAGCAGGAAGGCTCTTCAGACCGTTCATTGCACAGCCATGTCAACAGGCTGGACTGTGGGGTCTGCTGCTACTTTCTATTCTTTTTTGAAAAATGAAACAAAACAAGCTTGGCTGGACGGTGAGAGCTATAGCTTGAGAGTGGCTTTCCTCCAGGCACAACATGAGAGTTGTGTTTGTGTGTTTTGCATGCATGAATGTGGCTGTCCGTCATTCTCGTTGCACAAGAGCCATCATTTCTCAGACCATTCTTGGAGCCTCTGTGTCTGTCACCACGGGATGATGGTGCTCTGTGGCTGGGTCCGGGGCGCTTGGCTTGCATATGTTTTGGAGCAAAGACCAGCCCTCTGGAGGGTTGACCTCAGAACAGCATGACCGTGCACCCATTTCCTGCAGCGGCGGACCTCGGCTTAGCTGGATTTGGGAGGTGACGGCCCCTCCCCAGGGCATCGGGCCTTCTCTGTTTACATGGCAGGGATCCCAAAGACCTGCCAGCTGCCATATCTGTAGGCATTGTTGATTTATGGTGCCGCGGTTAAATCCGGCACTTGGAAGCCAGCACCGTTCCTCGCTGCTTAGCCCAGCTAACAGCCGGGGTTATCACAACAGCTATAAATCCCCTGAATCCTGGATGGGAAATCTCATTATTTCTCCCCTCCCCTCCCCTCTTTGGACCAAGGGATCTGGCACAGCTGCAGGGAGCTAGGATTGATTCAGTCCAGCTTCAGCTAAAGCAAGTGACTCATTCTCCCCATAGGATCTTCCGCTTCCTTGGCCCTGAGCTCAGAGGGAGACACTCTGTGGCCATTTCGTCCATCATTACGCTGGCCAGAGGAGAAGACCGTGAATGCCTCCTACATTCTGGAGTGGATTTCTGCGCCAGTACAATTGCACTGGAGAGATGTAGAGAAGCTTTGGATATGACCTGACACGTGGAGAGAGGAAGGCACAGCTTCCTTGCATATTATCAATGGTTCTTGGGTCGGGTCAAGGGCTTGAAGATACTTACACTAATCGCCATTGCAAAGAGGCAACCAAGTGTCAAGAACTGCTCACCACCATCTGAGTGGTGAGCGGCATCGCTGCAGCTTCTCCGTAGTGTGCAGAGAACGGCTGACCACTGCCCCATGTGGGGAGCTCTGTGTCTCTGTAACTCCTCAGTGAAAACCCTCCAGGGCTGGCTCCACCAAGGAAGACAATCACATTTTCCTGGGCATGAAAGTGTATAAGAACTGTAAGGTTGCCACCCATCCTGTATACTGCAGGATCACCCCATATTTCAATGTAAAATGCTACGTCCTGTGTTACTTCAATGCAGGATGTAGTTTGTCCTGTACAGTGGTACTTCAGGTTAAGGATTTAATTCATTCTGGAGGTCCGTTCTTAACCTGAAACTGTTCTTAACCTGAGGTACCACTTTAGCTAATGGGGCCTCCCGCTGCCGTCGCGCCACCACCACACGATTTCTGTTCTCATCCTGAAGTAAAGTTCTTAACTCGAGGTACTATTTCTGGGTTAGCGGAGTCTGTAACCTGAAGCGTCTGTAACCCGAGGTAACACTGTATTTCCGCTTCCCCCACCTCTCTCTCTCTCTGCCAAATTATGGATCCTCTCCAAATGCATGTGTGTGAAAGGTCATGTATTACAGTTCCCAGAATTCTTTTGGGGAAAGCCATGACTGTTTAAAGTCTCAGAGCTTTAAGTGTAGTTTTCGGACCCACCTTATTCTTACGATTGTAAGTTGTTTAAAACTGTTTTCGATATTGTGTTTTAATGTTGTAACACCCCCCCCCCCGGAGACCTTAGGGTTAAGGGTGGGCAGTAAATTAGTAGTAGTATTAGTAGTAATAATAAATGTGTGTTGTGAATATGGCCCGGGTGGGCAAAGACTGCATTAGTTCATCACTCCCCCCCACCCCAGTATTAGCTGGCAATGGGTTGTATCCAGCTAAGTTGGACATGTTAGTCATGTCCATTACCTTCAATGGGTCTACTCTGAGTAGGACTCATGCTGGATGCAACCCAATACTCATTTCATTTCCCATTAACTGAGTGAAAATTTCACCCCACCCTGCGAATGTTCAGTGAAACCCCAACCCCCACACCAGTGGCGTAAGGGGCTGGAGAATTTCAGGAGGACATTTCTGCTCAGCCTCTCATATTTCCTTTTAGCCTCAGCTCTGATCCTGCGACAGTTACATCTCTTTCCCCACCAATAAGGCAGTTTCTCCTCACCCCTGTGAAGGTGTGTGTGTGTGTGCAGGGGGGAACGCATTGACTTCCAAGCTTGGTATCTATTTTTAAAAGACAGGGGGCTTATTCTAAGTCACACACATCTCTCTCTTCTCCCACCCCTCCTCCTCCTCCTCCTTCGCCTCCCAACTACAAATTTAACTCCTCACCAGTTAGGAAGAACTGCAGACCCTGATTACCCTGTTGCTTGCCAAGTAAGCTTTGGTGCTGGCATACCGGACCCAACAGCCTGAATGCCCCTATGAATGGCTCTGATTCAGCAGCCCCGGGCTCAGAGTACCTGACACCTTCCGTGACACAAAGGAGGCTTTCTCCCTCACGAAAAGCAGTAGGCATGGAGACAAATCACAAAGCCACATTGCATTTGCGGGGGGTGGGGGGGATTTCTCTTTTCTTTTTTTTGAAAAAACCACCCATCAGCAACAATACATGGCTTGTCTGTTAAGTGCGTTGCAGGCCTGTGGCTCACACAAAGGCTTGCTGCTGGTGGCCACTGGCTACCGGGAAAACCCGTCCTTTGTTTTTCAGAAGCCCAAGTTGTTTAGATGCCCCATTAGGTGGCCAAGTTTCTATGGGTTGACCCAGCGTTCCAGGTGTGATGCTCCTCAGTGGTCTCCAGAGGAGGGGGTGTTTGTTCTCCAGGTGATGGACCAGAAGTAAGAAGCATTGTCTTCTTCATTGTCTGGTATGGGCCATAGCTCAGTGGAAGAGCACCTACTTTTCACGCAGAAGGTCCCAGGTTCGGTCTCTGGCATCTCCAAGTAGGACTGGCTGAAACCCTGGAGAGCCACCGCCAACCAGTGTAGACAATACAGAGCTAGATGGGCCAATGAGCTTGATTCAGTACAAGGTAGTTTCTTCAGTACAAGGTGTCTTCTTTTATTCCGATGACTTTGATATTACAGTGGTAGCTCGGGTTACAGACACTTTAGACTCCACTAACCCAGAAATAGTGCTTCAGGTTAAGAACTTTGCTTCAGGATAAGAACAGAAATCGTGCTCAGGTGGCGTGGTGGCAGCAGGAGGCCCCATTAGCTAAAGTGGTGCTTCAGGTTAAGAACAGTTTCCGGTTAAGAACGGACCTCCAGAATGAATTAGGTTCTTAACCCGAGGTACCACTGTACAGGACAAACTACATCCTGCATTGAAGCAACACAGGACGTAGCATTTTTACATTTTACCATAGTTGCATGCCAAGACCCAGTGACCCCACAGTTCCCTAAGGGGTGAATAACCAGAGAAGTCAACAGCATATAGGTTTTATGGGTTCAAATAGGCAACAACATTATTGATTACAGATGTGAACCGTTTGGCATAGGCATGGGGTGAAGCCAAGTTACATCATTCCAGCCCATGTGCTAGGAGCCCATCTAAGGGTAAACCACCACTGGGAGGCTATGACATACATCAAATAGGAGTATCCCCCCAAAGGGTCCCTGTTGGAGGAGTGCTATGGTTGTAGCCCTTGCTTGGGTGTTGGACAGAAGCCACTCCTCCTAGATCTCTTTAACCAAGGAGGGGTAGGCAGAGTCTAGAGAGAAAGGTCAGAGGAAGGACCACCAAGGCCAGGCCACAATTTGTCCCCCCTGGAATGGGCCCAGGTGGATACTGATTGGTTGGCTGGGTCTGCCCTCAGGAAAGCCCACCCAAGACCTGGCCCCCTCACCAGATTACCGCAGGGCTCGTGGTCCATCTGCAACACTGCTCATCAGATAAACTGAGCGGACCTTCAGCGCCATCTTAATCAGTCTCCATTCATGAGGCACAAAGCATTGCCACAAAGGCTCATCTGGTCCAGAATCCTGTTCCCACAGTGTCTAACCAAATGCCTATGAGGTGCCCACAAGCAGGACATGAGTGCAACAGCAACTTGTGATTTCTAGCTCACTGCCTCCCTCTGTGGAGGTAGAACATAGCCATCATGGTTGGTAGCCATTGGCAGCCTTATTCTCCATGAATTTGACTCATCCTCATTTAAAGCCATGCAGGCTGGTGGTCATTGCTACCTCTTGTGGGAGTGAAATCCATATTTTAACTATGCGATGTGTGAAGAAATATTTTCATTGCCCAGAAGCTTCCAACATTCATAAACCTACTCCCTCAAGTGTTGTTGCGCAGGAGGAAAGAGTTTTTAGGAGTTGAATATAACACTCATAAGAAGAAGGGCTGTTTTTTTATTAGCTTCATCATGAGAGTGGAGGTAAGGGAAATGGATTTTATGAATCAGAATGGTGTGGGATACGAATGGGGAGGCTGTTTCTCTTCAAGTATTCTTGGACTCCAGCTCCCATAATCCTAAACCATTGGCCACACTGGCTGGGGCTGCTGGGAGTTGGAGTCCAGCCATCTCTGGAGGGCTGTGGGTACCCCACCCCTGCTGTAGAGAAGAAAAAGCACTTCTATAAGCTTATAATGAATACATAACGATAAAGTCTTCCTCCTAGTAATCCTAGAAGTGGCACAAAACTGATACAAGTTCCTTCTTCCTGCTCACTATCTGAACAATCTGACTATTCCAAAATTTAGGACAGTATTTACCTAGGCTAAGTTTAATGTGCTCCTGAATCTGCAGTACTGAAGGGTAGATACAATAATGTACCATACTGTGAATGCCCTTGCGAAGCATAGAAAATAGAAACTGTGAGGCATGCCTTATTGTATTGTACCTTCTACTGATATCCACCACCATTTTATTAATCCAATTTTACAAAGTACACCAGGAAGATCTGAAGTGTTTTTATATTGACTATCTTTCGGTTGACCAGTTTCCTGAGATCACTGCCAAGGTAGCTAGTTTTTGTGCGGCAGCAGTAGCTTGTCGGCCCAGGATCCTGTTTTAATTTTAAAATGATTAACCCCTTACTTTTTACCATTTTAATAGAATTACTTTATATTTCTCTTGGCTTTTAAAAATATTTTATATCGTTTTTAATTCTACATTTAATTGTGTACTCAATGTATTATATTGTCTTTTGTGTGCTCTGTTTTCTTCCTAGCATAGATTTAACTCAAGGCTCCCCCTCTAACAGTGAACTTTTTATTTCTCTTGTTTTGTCCTGTTAGTGGTCTTTCCCCTCTACCAGCTCCTCCTAGGCACCATAGGAGGCACAAACAACAGGAGTCCAGTTTCCTGACAGCCTGAAGCAAACCGGAGGACATTTAATGGCAGGGGTAGGGAACATCTCACAACCTGAGGGCCATATTCCTTTCTGAGCAACTTCCTGAGGGACACATGTCAATGGTTGGTGGGACCAGAAGAAAAAGTGGGTGGAGAAATGAATGTCAATCTTACCCAGGGGTCAGCAAACTTTTCCAGCAGGAGGCCAGTCCATTGTCCCTCAGACCTTGTGGGGGGCCGGACTATATATATTTTTTCTTGGGGGGGGGGAATGAACAAATTCCTATGCCCCACAAATAACCCAGAGATGCATTTTAAATAAAAGGACTCATTCTACTCATGTAAAAACACACTGATTCCCGGACCGTGTGCGGGCCGGATTGAGAAGGCGATTGGGCCGCATCCGGCCCCCGGGCCTTAGTTTGCCTACCCATGATCTTACCGTTTGCTCAAGGAGTTCAAGGACACACAGGAAGGGTATTGCAGGGCTGGTGATAGAGGGTGTGTCCTGGGGAGAGTTCCAAGGGCCAGGTTGAGAGCACAGGAGGGCCTGAGGTCCCCCGCCATAGTTTTAGGGAGAAGCTCTGTGGCATATGGGGATGAAGTAAAATCAGGCTAGTGAGCTGTATGAGGAGTCGGAGTCTCAGAAGTGGCCTAAAAAGCTAAATGTTTACTTAATGGGGGTGGGGAAAACCACACTTTTTGGAGGGTGGGAAGAGAAGAAAGTTGTGCTTGGGGGAAAAAAATGTGTTAATATTAGAAACAACAACAGCAACAAAAATATCCAGCTTGCAAGCATGCCAAGTTCCTACATTGACTGGGGCTTTTCTTACAACGTAGAGATTCACTGCAGGCTGTTTACCCGAAGGAAAGGATTGCCAGCAAATTGCAGGAAAAGGTCATGAAACAGGCAGCTCCAGATAGTTTGGAAGTGGGCTTAAGTGGCTCTTGTGTAGGCATTAAATACGAGTTGCATCGGGAGGAGAGTTTTGCCAAGGGCAACTTCTTCCACAAGAGTCCTGAAATGAAAGGGGGCACCTTACCCCAGCCCTTTGCGAGCCTGGTGCCAGCATAGCATAGTGGTGATGGGACATCACAATATCTGTAGTTCCACAACATCTGGAGGGACTAGGTTGGCAAAGGCTGCCTTACCCCATAGGGGACATTCCATTTCTGTTTATGTTTGAGGACTTTTCTTATAAACTAATTTAGGTCTGCTTCGGATTAAGGGACAGTCAAATCTATCCATTTTTATTTCTCTCACTGCCTCATTTCCCTCACGATTTGTATGATTTTTTTGTGCACAATTCTCATAAATATTTTCATTTGTGGATACATTTTTGCCTTTAAAAACGTGTAAGTCTAGGTTGGTTGTTATAGATAGACAGGCCGTGAGCTCATATAAAAAGCTGCAAGAAAATTTACCTGTACAATAAAACCTAAAATGCTGTAAAAACAATTCACAATATTCATAAAAATGGTGTGATCTTCTTCAAAACATTTTTAAAACAGCAGAATAGTCAGTGTGATAAGATCTTTGAGAGATGTGTGTATGTTAGCGGTGAGGACACCTGCTGATTCTCTACGAGAAGAGTATTCCACAGCATGGGACCTGCAACATAGAAGACACCATGTCTAGTCAAAGCCAAATATAGGAGACAATTAACAGTGCTCATCTGGATGGTGTTATTATATCTGCATCAATTTTTGATTTGTTTTCATTTCATTTCATTTTGTTAGCTAATAAACAGCTGCATGAACACTTGTGTGATTTTCTTGTGCACAGTTCTCATAAATATTTTCATTTTTGCATAATTTCTTTTGCATTACAAATATTATTTATAAGACTTCTTAGCACCCTTTCACAACAAGGCCTCATGGTGGGTTGCATAACCCATAACACACACACACACACACACACACACACACACACACACACAACACACACTCTTTTAATTTGTGTTTTGAAGTGTGTGTGTGTGTTTTAAAAAAGAATGCAAGCATTTTCTGTGGACTTTCTGTTCATATATGTTTCTTTTAATGTAATTTTTTTTTGGGTTGCAGAACTGCATTGCAAATTTTGGAGAAGTCTGCATTTCAAAGGATGCATTTTGGTTCACATATCGGTTTGTAAAAAAAATGGCAGGTTCCTATTAAAATGTGAACTGAACAATTTTCTCTGCATACTTTCTAATAAGGAAAGGAGTGTGCATATACATTTGGAAAGCATTTATCCCTAATGCAATGCAATTAAGTCCAATCGATGCATTTCTGTACACATTACTTGGAAGTGCAAAATTCAGAGACTTGCAAATTCAGAAGGATGGCTGTGTTTCACAGTTCATGTATTGTTTTGGTAAGTGTGAATTATGTAGGTTTGCCTTTAAATGCCAACAAAATCACATCTGTCCGCCGTTCTTAGTCTGTTGATACTTGTTGATGTTTGTGGAGAATGATTTTTTTTTTTAAAGGATCCACCCTAGTCTCTTGCATGTGATTTGTTTTTAACAGATTTCAATTGTGTATGTTTTTAATTGTTGATACCTACCCTGGGACCTTATTCTGGAAACTGGGCAAGAAATATATATGATGATGTCAACGATGATGTGTAGGATAAAGAGCTGCTGGGTACAAAAGTTCCT